GGTACAACCGTATTGTTTGGGATCCGTCGCAAACACAAATATTCTAAGTGTTATATTAGGCTCATTGAATACTGAAATTTACTTTTTAATGACAAATTATGAAGTTTTACCCTGCCGAATGTGGTGACCAAATTACTAGTAAAGATCTTCGAATGAAATTGTCGATGATTGACTCACTATTTACAACTTGAACAGATCGAATAGCGTAGGTACAATATTATTTATAGAATATTGTTTGCCCTTATTTCAGCGTCGTTTGGGATAAATATAGCAGAATAATGACAAAACAAATTAGTTTTAACCATGACAATACAATTAATTATATATAATAATATATTAATTATAAATTAGCTTGTAAAACAAATCTAGCGACTAAATAAAATACATTTATTTATTTATTTATTTATTCATTTATTTATTTATTTATTTATTTATTTATTTATTTATTTATTTATTTATTTATTTATTTATTTATTTATTTCAAAATGTACTTTGACCTTTCACTTGACCTTTAGTGTTCTAATAATATAATAATTATGTCAAATTTAATGTAATTAAAAGTATAATTATTAATACTGTGGTCACATATACAATAAACACGTACTATTGTAACAATGAAATGTGTAGACAGCTGTAATTGTGGTTTTTAACCTGTTACAACTTAGAAACCAGTGTTCTAACACCATATTTAAACAATTGTAAATGAGCGTCAAACAAGATCCATGAACTGACTCTAAATAGAAAAGGATGTGAATATTTTAAAGTTCTTTCTATTTATATACAATCTAGATATTATTATGTCAATTAATGTCGTTATCGTTTTATTCTAATAAGTAGGTCCATGACAATGTTAACAGTTAATTCTAATCAGCAAGCACCAGCATAAACTTGAACTGATTTGAACCTCCAAAATCTCAAAACTCAGTGGAACGCAGACCTGCCGCACGCGCGGATTTAGGGGAGGCGCGACAGTCCCCCCCCCCCCGAGCCCGCAAAAAATGACAAACCCAGCCCACACGTCAATAGAAGCCCCCCCTCTCTCTCTCTACAGAAATTCTGGACCCGCCAGTGTGCCAAGTTTTGAAACATAGGTAGTCTACGTGGCGCTATGGTTCAGTTGAACGCTGGCTTGCCCAGTATTAAAACCAAGTAGTCCGTCTACGTCTTAAGGGGGGTCTCCAAGTCAGACCTGGTACCCATGCTGACGAAGTATAGCTTTAAAAAAGCCTTTGAACACGTTCTCATTTTTGTGAAATTATACCCCTTTTCAAGTGCAGAAACTTAAAATAGATACCCTATATACATACTGAAAGCATACTGTTGAGGTAACATGAATTCATTAGATTCTTTTTTTCACACTTTATTTCTATATTATAAGTTACATCCGGGTTCAAGTTCCAATAGGGCCTTAAACATAGTACGCGCGTATACGCGTCAAATAACTAAATAACACTTTTACGCGTTTCTTTACTCCAGCTTGCGTGCCATATTTTATTCAAAGAGCCCTCTGGGGTCTACGTGGCGTTATGACTCAGTGAAACGTTGACATGTCTAGTATTTATACCAACGTAGTATACGTGGCGTTATGGTTCAGTGCATCGTTGACTTGCCCGTTATTAAAACCAAGGTAGTCTTATGGTGTAGTCATTATAGCGTGGTCTACGTCGCGTTATGGTTCGGCGAAACGCTGACTTACCCATTATTGCCCAATGTTGTCTACGTGACGTTATGAGGAACGTTGTCTTGCCCAGTATAAAACCAAGGTAGATTTCACACAGTGTCGGTACATTCGGCGAGTCATTAGCATGATGGCCAAATACGATGGTAGATGTGAACACACAATTAATCATTTCATTCCTAAAAATAAATTCATTTGCATACTATACTTGCTATTCTGATCCGAATATATGGGTTAGTGTGTTGTACAGCCGGTGTTTGCTGTTGCAATTTTATCTTCTGATTACTGGTAGCTCAACTCTATGGCGAATATCTTGCAGGATTTTCTACATCTGCGTTTAGGTGTGTGAGGCTGCTATTATAGTAGAATGGGTACGTTGAAAATTAGATTTTCCAATTTGCATATAATTTATACAAGTAAAACGGCTTTCACTGGCACTGAGTATGGGACAGGCTGTTGGGCTGCCAGGTGATCTGTGAACATAGTCCTAACTGCATTACCTGCCAATGTTGTTACTTACAGTGTAGTGAAATGGGCGTGGTGCCTGGGCGTCTGCTATTTTCAAACGATTATAAACCGTGAACGTGGGGATAATGATTAATATTAGTATGTGACGTGACATAATTGCTTTGTCTTTGTGTATAAATAAACATCTGCGAGATCAAGCATTACTGACAACTTGTCTTGAATGCACGTCAAACTTGTCTTAGAGCAGAGTTTATGACTTGTAAAATGGCACCTTGCGAGATGTGCGTGCGTGCAGGATTTAATAAAAGACTACTCCATTAAATAAAAGGGGTTAGGTCTCGATAGAATGCCTCTCAAACAATCCAGACAACGAAATTGTACATATCAAATTATCATTATGATAATTTAGTAAATCAGTTGTAATGACTAGGCTACGGATGATATAATTCTATTTGAGATGTTAACATCACAGTGATATCAAAACTAAAATAATAAAAAAAACAAGGTGGCAGTGAAGTGAAAGAAGACAACCATGTACCATGTATATGCCCTGCAGTTCTTCTGTATTTTCTCCGTGAAGCGCATCTGCGATCAAAATATCCTCACACAGTTGCCATGGAAACTGAAAGATAAGATATGCGCTCTGAAGTGATAAATGACATGCTGTCTCGATTGTAAAAGCTCATGTAGCACTATCAAATGATACTATATTGGGAAAAGGTTACGTAGATGGAAAAATAATTATTAAATTTCAATAACATTAATTTTACGGAAGTGCAAATTAAACTATATATTATTATGCGTATTTGTCTAAATAATTCTATTGGAAAGTCTATTCTATCGACTCCGTAGCTGTCTCTGTAATAGAGGCCCTATTCATAATTTACTACAAATATCTGTAATGTTATCACTCATCGTCATAGTCGAGCTTTACACCCAGACAAATTATATTGGAA